AGCGAGCGGGAGAGAGAGAGAGAGAGAGAGAGAGAGAGAGAGAGCAGGGGTAGTGGGCCTGGCGGAGGAATCCTGTAGGACGCAGGTGGCTGCTGATGCTGCTCAACCTGTCATGTGACGCGGCGTCTGCTGACGGGCGAGCGACTCGCCTGGGCATATTAATTAAAGTGTCGCTGCTAATGAGTTAGATTAAAGCGCACAGGACGCAGGATACACAGTCCAACTACAGCTACTGAGTGTGTGTTTGTATGGGTTTGGTAATTGGCTGCAGGATAAATTCGAATCCAGGCTCACGCTCGCTCATGTGTGTGTGTGTGTGTGTGTGTGTGAAATTGGCCGGGCATTCATTATGCTTTTTATGCACGCCCGATGACAAGGACGAACAAGGTCCTTTAATACCTGGCCCTGCCAAGTCTGCTTAACATCATGCAATTATGCCCTGGCACAAACCATTTGTGGCTCTGATTTGGCTCGTTATATCCTCAAACACATCATAAAAATTGTGTGTTTTGCCCAAAAGTATGCTAACATTAATGTAATTCCAATTGCTGGTAATTTGAAATTTTGCTTTTATGTTAGGTTGTTGAAGTATTTGCTTTATGCACACTCGCACGGTCTGCTTTTTGGTCTGTAAGTAATTTAAATTGCAAAACTTGATTCACGAATATTCTGTTAAAACAGAATTTTATTTCAAGATGACCTTTCACAAATGAAATCAGACGTATGTGTAAAGCTTTAAAGTTTGCTTAAATTAAAGAAAGTTCTTTTTATTGCAGCTAGATGATCAAGCTTGAATCTAGCTGTAAGCTGTGGCGTTCTATTAAAACAGAGCTTTAATATTTTCTGTGCTTTCAGCATGTTTTCAATTGAAGTTTCTTTTATTAAATAAAAAATGCAAATGTTGCCTTATAATTATGCCTTTCTGTGCTCTCCATACTCGATAATTGAAGTCTTGGAAAACAAACAATATTTTCATATTGTTTTCCTTAAATACTTATTTCGATTAAGGAACTTTAACGTGTCAGCATTTAATCATAATATAAACCAATATAACATGCCCCAACAAAACAATTTTGTTAAAAGCTTTTACCTTTTTTTTTTAGCTCGTTTTTAACCCAAAACCAATTTAATGTCACTTTCGGCCAATGTCTTTAGAGGCTTTGGCTTTTAGCCCAATAAATATGTAGCCTGCATTTATTAAATTGTTGTTGATATGAATGTAATACAAGCGTTAACAAATGTTATTTTTATTGCTTAAATTGTTGTGTGTCATAAAGTGGCATCAAAAAAGAGACGCGCAAACAGTAACACAGTGATAAAAAAAGCAGGCACTAGACTGGGAAGGGACTTTTAAAAAAAGTCATATATCAGCTCTTGAGCGACACGCACACCCACAAACACACACGCGCACGCACACGCACACACAAACGCACGCAGTGGCATAAAAAGTTGTGCCGCCTGGCGCTGCTCTTACTGATAAAAAATAAATGTTCCATATGCAAATGGCAAGTTTGTCAGTTTTTATTTGTTTATTTGTTTTGCGTTTGCTCAGCTCTGGCTACGCTGTCCATCTCTCTCGCTGTCTCTCTCTCTCTCTTGCTCTCTCTCTCTCTTGCTCTCTCTCTCTCTCTTTCTCCCTTCCTTTTTCTCTCTCTCTCTCTCTCTCTCTCTCTCTTGCTCTCTCTCTCTCTCTCTCTTGCTCTCTCTCTCTCTTTCTATCTTTTTCTCTCGCTCTCTTTTACTTTCTATATCTCTCTCTATCTCTATCTATCTTTCTATCTCTCTCTCTCTCTTTCTCTCTCTCACCCACTCTCTCTCTTACTCTCTCACCCACTCTCTCTCTCACTCTCACTCTGTCGTTATCTCTCTACTTCAGCCAGCTTTCTCTTCTTTCTTCCCTCTTTCGCTTTCTCTCTGTTCCCGGCTGCCATTTTATAGATATTGTAAGCACTTCCCGTTTTTGGCCCGCATTGCATAAAGTGCTTTATGCGTACTGCCGGAAATATGCCAAGTGCCGTTATTAATACTAATATTTTTTATGCTTGTATATGTGCTGCGTACGTTATGTGTGTGCGTGTGTGTGCGTGTGCTATGGCCTTTGGCTTTTAATGGCGCACACAACTATGCGCTTAAAAACTGTTGACATGTCGAAAGGTTACCATGGACCCCTAAACAGCCTTTTGTTCGACTCGCAACATTTGACTTGGGCGAATGGCGGACATTAAATGAGCTTAGCTCCAACCGGCAAAAGCTCTTAATTTCACTTGCACAGCTTAATTTGCGCCTTGAATGGGGGAGCCAGAGGTTGGTTAATTTGCCAGCAATTAATTTTTGTGGCAAGGCAAATACCTTCATCTGTTACCCTCATAACTGGCTGCCAGTTAAGGTTGACGTATTGTTTAAGGAAATGACTCGAATTTCTTTGTTTGTATAGTTGAAAGCCGTTTGAAATATATATTTAAAATTTGGAAAACTATTTCTGTTCCCTTTCTCCCACGATCTCCCTACACAATTCCATTCTCTCTCGCAGTTACTTTCTTAATTGTCGCCTTTCTATGCGATTCTCTTAATGTAAACTGGCTCTCACACAGTTTTGTGTAGGGTATCTTAAAGTTAAGCTTTCGACCTAAGCCTTCCCGTTTTCGCATAGATGCATTTGTTCTTTTTGTTTTTAATTTTCCTCTTATTATAGAGTTCTTTCCTAATTGCTCCCTATAATAGTTCTTTTAATCTCACAAACTACAACTGATATCTGTAGTCTTACTAAGTAGCAGTTACTTTATTACGCCTGGCGCTGGCGTCGAAGGGAACTTTTTCATTTAAATTGGAGGACAGCGTGGCTGCAAGCGGCGGGTGCAGGCCACTAAATTGTGGCAACAGCTGCCGCTGCATATTCATTTCGGCAAGCTTTGTGCAGCTTATGCCACGGATGTGGCTGCGGCTGCGACTATGACTGCGGCTGCGACTCTGTGTACACGGCTGAGGCTGAGGCAGAGGCGGGCGGAACCTGGGCGGCGCTGGCTGCATGAATCAGACTTTGACTGATGGCCAGGTAAAGCCCGTTGCAAGCGTCAAGCTGCCGGCGGATTATGTTAAATATGCAGCGGCGGGATTTCCACTGATGGACACGATTAAAAATATGATGCGGCGGCTGCTGCTGCCGCTGGGGCAAATTGCAGCGGCTTTAATAAAGCTGCCATTTTGCCTGCATTATGGAAAATGTCAATGCGGAAAATGCGCACAAAAAGGATTTTTCTTTTTTTCATTTTCATTTTTATTTTATTTTCTTTTTGTCAGTTGCACGCAAATTAAATTGTTGGCCGAACTTTAGTTTTAAATATTTTACGGCAGCAATAAAAAGCATGCTGCCAAAAGCTGCTTAGCTCGAAAAAAGTTTCACTGGAATTTTCATATAATGGAATTTTAACAGTTTCATGTTTTTCAACAACTTTAGTCGCTAAAGCTCAAATGTATGTTACATTTTGCCATACATACCTAGGAAGCACCTTTAATTCATTAAAGAATTAAAAAATTGAGCTATGGACTAGGCAATACCCTAAATGAAAACAAGTAAAAGGTTCTAGTCTGGAGCTCCCGACTAGGGAATACCCTGAAGCCTCTTCTTCCAACATCAAATGCATATATATATTCTATTTTAGAAGCTATATGTCAGGTTTGGGGACTCTAGCTCTTATTATTTAACAAAATTGCCCAAAAAACAGGGTATCGATATCGATTTTTATCGATTGCTTGGAAACGGAGTAAGTTATCGATTATTGGAAACAAACTCGATCTGCGCAAGCACTAGGAGCACCTACATCTAAAATTTCTATAGCTCTTATATGTTCTGAGATCCTAGCGTTCATACATACAGACGGACAGACAGACTGATATGGCTAGATCGACTCGGCTATTGATGCTGATCAAGAATATATATACTTTATGGGGTCGGAGATGCTTCCTTCTGCCTGTTACATACATTTGGATTTTGCACGAATACAATATACCCTTATACCCATTTTTAATGAGTTCAGGGTAAAGATATATCGATACGAAATTATTTAGAAATTGTAGCAAATGCTGAAGTATTTCTTCTGCTTTTTAACCATCCTAACATAGCTCAGTTTGGAGAATAGTTTATAATAGCTGTTTGTTATATAATTGCACTTAATTTGTATACATTTGATCTACGCTCCACACTTATTTAAAGGGCTAAGAACGGAAAAACTTCAATTTGGCAACTTTAACTTACTATGCCAGTGCTCATATGCTCGCTCTATGATTTTGTATAGGGTATTCATGTGGTTGGTGCTAGCATTTAGCAGTTTCCGTTTTCCGTTTGCAATTTCATTACTTTAATGCGCAGAGAAGGAACATTTCGGACACGGAACTTGGGACAGATGGGCAGCCAGAGCCGACCAAGCGGACCAGTCGAGCAGGCAAAGTTTTTAAATCTTTATTTATACAGCTTCCGCAGAGCATTTTGTCGTTGCTGAAAGTTTGTGGCTTCCAATGTGTATTATGTGTGTGTGTGTGCGTGTGTGTGTGTGTGTGTGTGAGGGTGTGCTTAAAAATGAAATAATTTTGACAGCCACACTTTTGCGGCTGCCAATGCAAAAAGCAGGCAACAGCATTCATAAAATGCCTTGACAAAAGTTTTGCCCAAGGGTCACACAATGTGCCAGGGAGGGGAACATGGAACTTGGAAGCTGTGTGAAAAGGGCTTGCGTCTGTAATAGGGAGTAGGGATTGGTCTGATAGGTTGCCATAGAGCTAATGGAATTGAGTTGAAGCCGGCCGGGGCCAGCTCAAAGCGGATTAAGCTGCGCAACTTGCCAAATTGTTTAGTTTTTAGACAACAGCAGCGGGCACAACAATAAGCAACAACGCATTGAAAGTTCTGTCAAGCCCTCTGCGTGACTCTCCTCTTGTGCCCCTGTCACCCAGAAACACAAGAAATCTTATTTGAATTTAACCACTCACCTTTGTTTGATTTACAGTGCATGCGCGCCTATGTGGACTTTGAGATAACCGAAGGCGCCTACGAGATCTCCTGCCCCGATGCCAAATGTCCAGCGCAGGGCGCCATATCGCTGCCCGAAATTGGGACCCTAACCACAACGAATCTGCTAAAGAAACATCATCGTTATCGCCTAAATCGAGGTAAGTGCCGCGTCTTCAGCTAATCTCTGCCTAATCGCCAACCCATTTATCAAACGACAACTCTTCTTATAGAAATCGAATTGGACAAAACGCGCACCTGGTGCCCACGTGCCGGCTGCGAGACAATTTGCATGGTGGGCAACGGTGCTGCGGGCGCTGCAGCAGCAGCAGCAAACACTGCGACGGCGACTGCGAATGCGACGGCGTCAGCGACTGGTGGCAGCGCCATTTGCCAAATGGATGAGTCACCATCAACATCGCAGAGCTATACACCACAACAGGACAGCGCTACGCCGCTTCTCTCCATATCCGTGCACTGTCCCTCCTGCAAGGATGAGTTTTGTGCCCTGTGCAAAAAGGCGGTAAGTCAAATACAATACAAGGCCGGAACTATTATTTGAAGATGAATTTATTTACAATTAGAGAAAGACTAAGAAGTCTTGGCCTTAGAAAATATCCTATCTCATAATTCATCTTAGTCCAAACTCTTGTTCTTAGCTCATCACAATTATTTACTAAGTACTTTTTGCTAGAACAATTTGAGAATTATAGTTGATTTGTTAACTATTCAAGTACAATTATGGGAGATGGTTAAAATTATTCGTTAATCTCAAGATAATATTTTGTTTGACAAAAATGTAGTTCTGAAAGAAATTGCTTATACATCCGTTTTTTTTTATCTTCCCCAGTTTCATCCAAACATAAGCTGCGAGGAATTTGGACGTCGTTTGATTGCAGATGGTCAGGATGATATTGGCATACCGTTTGATAACGAGCTCATCAAATGCTGCCCGATGTGCGCGGTGCCCATCGAGAAGGACGAGGGATGTGCCCAGATGATGTGCAAGCGCTGCAAGCACGTCTTCTGCTGGTACTGTCTGGCCAGCCTGGATGTGAGTATAATAGTGAGAGTTAATTGCCAGCTGCTTGGGGCTAACAACAAATGCATTCGCTTAATCACAGGATGACTTTCTGCTGCGGCACTACGACAAGGGGCCGTGCAAAAACAAATTGGGTCACTCGCGCGCCTCGGTTGTGTGGCATCGCGCCCAAGTTATTGGCATATTTGCGGGCTTTGGCATTCTACTGCTGGTGGCATCGCCGTTGCTGCTGCTGGCGGCGCCGTGCATCATTTGCTGCAAGTGCCGCGGCTGCAGCGGCTCCAAGATTGATGAGGTGGATGCCGAGCTGGAGGAGGAGGTCACCGCTTTGCAGGGCTAGCTTCGAGGAGCGCTACCGATGATGGTTATCCATTTTAAATTGTGTAAAACCCACTTGAGCGCAGCTGCTTCCTCTCACCCCTTCACCCCTCGCCCCTCCCCCTCACGCTCCCATTTTGAACAACCTGACGAGTTCTTTATTTTTAACTTTGCGACTAGTTAGATTGGTGGCAAATATTGTTATTGACGAACCGTTTAAATTTATTATTTTAATTGTATGCATTGTATAGTATATGTGTTAACTAAATTGTGATATTTACAGTGATTCGATTTTTAATTGAATCGAAAATTTGTTGAACCTATACACAGAGAACAAGCGCGCCTTTGATTCTTTTCTTGTTTCTTGTTTTAGGTTTCGTGTCGATTTCTTTACATACACAAATGTATGTCCCATGTCTATGTATATATATATATTTATATATATATATTGTTTTATGTTTGTCCATTCAACAAGATTGTATACATTGTGTAGGCCCAAGCAACAGTTTAGCGCGTAAGTTAGCCTAAATTTACTAGCCCACTCTAGGATTTTAAGTATAACTCTCATATATTTCAAATGTGCTGCTTTTATATAAAGAACACACACACACACACATACACACACAGATCCTAACACACGCCCATACGACCTTTTTCTCAAGTATTACGGGATACCACATGCAAATATCGAAACCGAGTAATCAGCCCAAAATGTTAATTGATTTCAAATGTTTGTGCAACTGCTTGGAAATGCTTTTAAATGCTTACATAAATCTATACACACATAGGTGAGTGTGTACGTGTGTGTGTGCACACACGCAATTAACAAATAACAAGAATTATAGAAAAAGAAAAAAAAAAACAGAAATTTGATGCTGAAACCCATGTACGTACATATAAGAAAAGGTTTTGATCGATGTAAATTATTAAAAATACTTATTTAATGCATATATATCATAAAAATATATTAAATATATAACTATTAATGTGCGTGTATATTAAAAACAATGTTTAAATTCTACTCTTAATGTGAACAACTACCGCGTATGCTGTTTAAAATAAAATGTTAAAAAAATGCAAACTAGAAATTAATTTAGATATTTAAATACGCGCGCTGCTATCGATATATCAAGCAATTAAGTTACACCTATCGATATTTAACTATTTTAGATTTTAAGGTGACCATATTTTTCAGAGCTGCTTCGGAAGTGTGGTATTTTAATTATTATCGATAACCAAACAAGCTGATTTTTGCGTGTGCCGTTTAGAGCTAATTTCTATTTCAATTGCCGAACTGTGTTTATCTGCATAAATTGGAGTTAAAGTAAAAAACATACTCGCAGGATGGAGGAGCAGGCCTGCCCGCGGTGCAAGACCACCAAATACCGCAATCCATCGCTGAAATTGATGGTCAACGTGTGCGGCCACACGCTGTGCGAGTCATGTGTGGACATGCTCTTCCTCAAGGGCTCCGGCGCCTGTCCGGAGTGCATGGTGCCGTTGCGGCGCAACAACTTTCGCGTGCAGCTCTTTGAGGATCCCATGGTGGAAAAGGAGGTGGACATACGACGTCGCATACTGCGCGACTACAACAAGCGCGAGGAGGACTTTGCCACGCTCGAGGAGTACAACGACTATCTGGAGGAGATCGAGGACCTAGTGTACAATCTGTGCAACAACATTGAAATCATCGAGACCAACAAACGCATCGAGGCCTACAAGCGGGACAACCGTGACGTCATTCAGCGCAACAAGACGCGCGTCGGTCGCGACGAGTGCGCACTGGAGGAGCTGCTTGAGCTGGAGCGAGCGCAGGATGAGTCGCGCAAAAAGGAGCTCGAAGAGCTGGAAACCGAGCACAAAAAGCAGAAGGCGCGCGACAAGCAGGCACTCATCGAGGAGCTAATGTACAGCGGCAAGGACGCTGCCACAATTGTCAGCGAGTTTGCCGAGAAGGCGGAAAAACAGCGCGAGGAGGAGAAACAGCTGCCGCCGCCAAAGCCCGCCAACGAATTCTCCACGGGCATCAAGTTTGGCCAGACCGCAGATCCTAGCTTACTGCCAGTACCCAAATCGGAGGAGGGTCCGCTCTTTGTTTACGAGCCGCTGATACCCATCACCGAAGGTCCCACGCCGCCGCCCATCAGCGAGGTCGAGTCCATGGGCTACATCTCGCACATACGCGCCGAGACGCCGCAGGAAAACGCCGGCGGCTTTACTTCCACATTGGCTTGCCAGCGGGCCCTGCAGGAGGCGCTGCAGTGCCTCTACTATACGCCCACGGCCGGTGTTGGCGTCGGCCTTTAGCAGGACAATGGAACAAATATTACAGTTTAAAACTAGCAGCAGAGCACAGAACGCTTAAAACCCATTGTTAAACAAATGTTTCTCCTATAGAAATGCATCATTTCCATGTACTCTAATCCTATTTATACAACAAACCATTATACTAAAAGAAAACATGTTTTGCTTCGTCTCATCCTGCCGTTGCAACATGGAAAGGAATTCGACAATTTTCGCACAATCAACAGCTTTTATAGCCGTATCCTTGCGTCATCTGCCAACGCCTTGCAATTTGGAATTGGAACAGGTATATCACAGTAAAATCGAAAAATAGATTGGTATTAAAGATTTTTTTATTTCACAGAATGCGAATTATTGAGCGACACTTAGTCCTTGTCCTGCCAACTTAGAATATGTAATAAAAAGGACATGAATCCTTAATGGAGCTGAGGAAAAGAGATTTTTGTCGTGAGAGATAAATGGCTGTAGATCGGCCGTATCCTTGCCGATCATGATGTCCTTTGGCCAACCGTAAGTCTTTATCCTCCCAATTAAGATTATATAATGAAAAGGACGAAAGTCCTTTAGACAGCCTAGATATGAGTACGATTCGTTCGTAAATGAACAAAGCCATAACTCAGCCGTATCCTTGCGGATCCTGACAAGTCCTGTGTCAAACAGATTGTATGCACAAGGACCATAAACTGTCCAAAGGACAACAAAATCGTCCTTGCCGTTTCCGTGATATGGCAAATTTTCTGAAAAGGACATTTTTGAGATGCCCATAACTCGGCCAAATCCTTAAGGATATCGAAAGGATATACCTTGTTGAACTCGTGGCAAGGACTATCAATTGGCATTCAAAGATTTTCAGGATTCGACAAAAAATTTCACCAAAATATTTCATAGGGGGTTAGTCGCAAAATTGGCCAAAGTCGAAAAATTCCGGGCTAACTTTGCCATTTGAAGGACTATCGGCATGTCCTTTGGACAGTAAATAGTGCTCACCCTCCCATTTAAGAAAATATAACAAAAAGGACGAAAGTCCTTCAAATGGCGAAGTTTTAAGGACAATTTTCGCAAGAGAAAATAGGCCATAGTTCGGTCATATCCTGGCATATCCTGACGAGTCCTATGCCAAATTAATTGTATTGGCCAGGACTACCAACTGGCCAAATTTCATTTAGATCGTCCATGTAGTTTTGGAGATATTTAAGGATTTGTGTTTTCGGGCCATTTCCGTGGTCTCGCCGACTGAAATTTCACAAGTCAAAATACAAGTCCTGGGGTTCTTAGATGACCCCATATTTTTATGATGCAGATCGATGCAGGGGGTCAATACGATCCTAACGCACTATGTCCTTTGAAAATCTGCAAGGACATGGCCGAGTTATGTCCTTTTTTCCTTACATAAAATATTTTTATATATTTCTTGCCATCTTTAATTTAAATGTGTTTTTATCTTTTCAGAGCGACAAATTAAGGACTACAATGGGCTCTAAGGACCTTCACAAGTGTCAAAGCAGATTTTTCCAGGATTCGACTTTAATTATGCCAGATATAGTTATTTTAAGTTTAAATAAATCAATTATATAATTTAAAAAAACAAACTCGTGTTTTTTATTTCCAAGGACGTGGTTAAAATCAAAATTAAGAATCCATGGCATACCCGTCATGAACGTCGGTTGGCGACCGCTGTTGTTGTAAAAATGTTGTTTTTAGAGCCGTGGAGATATGTCGTTTCAAAACGACATAATCCCACATAACCATTATCATGGCGGAGTTATGTCGTTTTGAAACGACATAGCTCCACCGCTCTAAAAACAACATTTTTACAAGAAATTTTTCAAAAATACCAGGCGAACATAAATGACTAACAGATAGATGATGCACAGAAAATTCCCGCGGAGATATGTCGTTTCAAAACGACATAACTCCGCCAAGATAATGGTCATGCGGGATTATGTCGTTTTGAAACGACATATCTCCGCCGCACTAAAAACAACATTTTTACAAGAAATTTTGCAAATATACCAGGCGAACAGAAATGACTAGCAGATAGATGATGCACAGAAAATTTCGGCGGGGATATGTCGTTTCAAAACGACATAACTCCGCCATGATAATGGTTTTGAAACGACATATCTCCGCCGCTCTAAAAACAACATTTGTACAAGAAATTTTGCAAAAATACCGGGCGAACAGAAATGCCCAGCAGGTAGATGCACAAAAATGTTCTTGCAAAATGATGACTTGCAACTTTTTAACAGGTCTCTGTTAATCATCTGTTATTTAACAGTACCCTGTTAAGTGGCGCTGTAAGCTAACATACCACTGTTAAGGAAGGGAGCGCCAAGTTTGAACGGAAATTCGGCTGAAGTACCAGGCGAACAGAAATGCCCAGCAGGTAGATGCACAAAATTTTTTTGCAAAATGATGAGTTGCAACTTTTTAACAGGTCTCTGTTAATCATCTGTTATTTAACAGTACCCTGTTAAGTGGCGCTGTAAGCTAACAAACCACTGTTAAGGAAGGGAGCGCCAAGTTTGAACGGAAATTCGGCTGAAGTACCAGGCGAACAGAATGCCCAGCAGGTAGACGAACTAAAATTTTTGTAATATTTTCATTGCATACCCGATAGGTACAAGAATGTTCTGAAAGCAAAAAGCATACATATTTTTGGACCGTTTCCGTGCGCATTTTGCAGGGATTTGGTCCTTTAGGTTCACCAGGACTATATCAACGGTATGGTATAACCAAGGATATATAGATCAACTAGGTACCAACGAGGGGGATGGGGCAGTTGCTGGGGGGCATTCATTCATATTTTTTGACCATTACGGTCATTTAGGTTCACCAGGACTATATCTTTGGTATGGTATAACCAAGGATATGTCGGTCATCTAGGAACCATCGGTTTTCATTATCCATTCGCCCGGCCGTATCGTTGCGTATCCTGGTGAGTCCTGTGTGAAGCGATTCGTACGAACCAGGTCTATCAGCTGGCCATCAACATCATCCTTGTAGTTTCCGCGGAATCGATGATTTTATATTCCTTTTGGAATTTTACAATTCAAATATGCTAATACAGATATCAAGGACACCGATTGTTTACAAAACGACAATCGGTTACAGGTTGCTTTAGATTTTTTTTAGATTACAGACTTGGGTTTTATTAAATACTTGTTTTAACAATAATTTTTGTATAGGCGTAGATACATATGCTAGATATTGTCGTAGACATACGCGGATACGATACACATTATGTAGGTATATATATATATATAATAGAATTTATACATAGTATTACACATTTGCATATTCTAGTTGCACAGTAAGAGGTAAATATGTTTGCGAACGTGCCACATGAGAGATTTTGGCCACACTTGGGGTTACATCCTTGCCAAAAATATAAGTAGATTGTATAAACAGATGGCTTATATAAGTATATGTATACAGTATGATGCTATGCGATGATAAATGGCCAAAGATTACAATGTGCATGAGAATGAGTAAGTTAATGGATGAGTGGTGAGTGGATCGATCTACTCGTACATATACAACGAATACATTTTCAAATCCATTAAGCATGCTTTATACAAATTACAAATCATATATATATAAATAAACATTTATAATTAAATGGGTGTTTTCTATGGATTTGCCACCTCTTCGAGTCGGCCAGCACAGTGCGTGCAGCTGCTTAGGCTTGACTTGGAATGTGGCAGCTGCCACAGCCTGTGCCGGCGCGCATCAGAGGTGTGCGGAAGTGAACTGGAAAGGGGGGCGGAGAGTGGAGTGGAGTGGAGTGGATTGGTGTTACAGAGTAGGCTTAATTGTTAAGGTTTTCATAACATTTAATTTAGACGTTAATTTTGCGCCTTACATTCTAATTTAAAATGTTAACATTTAATTATATATAGTTTAGCATTTGTTTGTTTTCTTTTTACTTTCATTTTTATACAGTTTGTTGCTGTTATTATTAAGAAATTTCTTGCTCGCGTCGGTGTTTGTTGATTGTTTGCTGTAAGTATATTTCCATACATGTATATCTATATATATATATATATGTTAATGTTAATGTTTAACTAATTTATTGTTGCCCAGCGACATGTTGTTGGGTTCACTTGCATTAGTTGCTCTCAAAGTGCACTGCTTGGTATTATTATAAGTTAATAAGTAACTATTTGTATGAATATGAACGTCTGTATGAATATTTAGAAATATGTTAACCTGTCACAGCTAATTTACACCTAACGTGTCTAGTAGGCCTTTAAAAAGTGTAGTTCCAAATTTATAGTTTGTTGGGTTTGTGAAAAAAAAAAAACTATTATTGATTTGATTGATTGTTTGTTGTTGGCGATGTCCTTGCAGGCGGCAGGCAGGCAACAAATTGGTTGGTTGGTTGCTTTCTTTGTTTGTTTTTGTTTGTTTTTGTTTGTGATGTGTTGAGTTCGTGAGTTTTGTGTGGGCGCAACGCAAGCAGCAGGCAGTAGTCATAAATTGCAACGTTAACTAAACAGAATCATCTGCAAGTAAATAGACACGAGTTATTTATACAGATGCGATAAGTTGTACACATATAGATATATATATATATATATATATAGATCACGCATACGCACCGTGATACCACCATTTAGTCTTTTTGGGATTCTTGTTGCATGTCTTCACGTAGAGTGTGTTGTCCGGCGGTCGCTTCTTCTCGCGACAGCTGCTCAACATGGAGGCTATGCTAAGGCACACCGATTGCACCGACAGCGCCGGCGACCAGTCCTCGGTCAATATGGATAAGCAGATGTGACCATTGCTGTAGACATGCGGATGCACGGGTATATTGCTGCCAATAAAAGTGACCTGCGAACAGAACACAAACAGAAACAGAAACAGAATTTGATTCAAATATATTATACCAAATTGTATTTCGTTCAAAAAACTCACCTCTGGCGAGTCAAAGGGATATTTATTGTTGAATTTAAACAGCAGCTGGAAGTCTTCGCCCTCATAGAGTGTGCCCTCGAAACCTTTAATATTTATTTTCCATCTGCAATCAAGACATCAGCCATATTAATTAGTTGCTCGTAAAAATGCCAAATAAGAGAAACAATTGTCCGCTTTGTTAAACGCGCCAAATTGCCAAATTGCCAAACTGAGCCAACCAGTTTCTTATTTTGTTGCTGTTTTCGACTGAACTTGGCCCAGTTGCGGCTGTGCGGCACTTACTCTGACAAATTTTGCTGTACGCTTTCGGTGTCAACAGTCACGCCTGGCGGTGGCTCCTTGATCAGGGACATCAGTTCTTTGTGCAAACGGCGCTGCAATTGGAGAGAGCAGAAACCGACGAGTCGCAAATGAGCATCGATTTTATTTTTGGCAATTTAGCCCAAGCCCACAAAGTGCCCTAAAATTTCAGTTTTCCTTCTTAACGATATATCGCGTGTTTTGCTGGCCAAATATAATGTCTGTATATATGATGTCTGTATATATGGAGACTTTATCGCTTACACATTTCCTTTTGGCTTACAAACGTCAATCTGCGATATGTATATATATGGAGTGTACAAATGTATATATAGATAGCATTCTATAGATTAGATAAAAAACTGCTCGTGCAATGCTCTTGAGCCCCCTTAAACTGTCGATTGTTTTCGTTATTTTGACTCTCTACAAAAGTTGCCTTTCCGCTTGTTGTTTTCTCTGTGTGAAATTAAAAGCCACAAATATATATATATATATACATATATTTATTTGTGTATATATCTTGATATATTGCCATTCTCATGGTTTTTTCGAGCCGCATTTATCAGTTTGGTCGATAAGAGCTAAGCGCCTTGTTCTACAGACTCGAGTGTATCTTGGCCCGGGCGCAATTTAACAAAGGAAATTAATTATTATCAGAGCAGACCAAGGCCCAAATACCTATATATTTTTTTTTAGCTGCACTCTCATAACTTGTTCCCGGAAAACTCTAGTCCCGCCCAGCTAATGACGCAATTTGGCAATTGAACGGGCCAATGCAGTGTATAAGGGCACACAGCACCTAGTTATCTATGCATATACATATGCATATATACACATGTCTATATAGAAGTTCGCATGATAAAGTCGCGAACAAGTCAAAGGCTAACATTGTGCGAAGGTGTAAATCCCACAATAAGACGATAATTCATGCCAGCTAGATATGGCGTTCAGGCCCGATAAGTCTGGCCAAGGCCAACGGGCGCAAAGTTCGAGTTCGTTTATCTGGCCAGCAGGAGGTGACCGTCCGTCCGCAGGAGGGGCGAGCAGGTGCGAGTACTTGCCTCCCAGCGCGAATTGTCCAGCAGGAGGGGCTTGCCGCATTTGGAGATGGCCGGCTTTTGGGGCTCTTTGGGCTCATTGATGATCTCCGATTTGGGAATTTTGTCTTTGGTTTTCTTGAATAGTTTCAGCATTTTGTTACACGTTAACACGAAACACTCGCGACACTTTTGGTTTTTGAATCTGATTTGGTTTTGTTTTGTTTGGTTTTTGTTTTGCTTTTGTAAAGCGCTCGCAATGTTGCTGTGTTTTAGACTAAAATTTATTAATTTGATTTGTTTTAAATTCGTCGTCTCTCGCTTTTTGTTTTCGTTAGCCAACTATGTCGCTTTACGTTCGCCCAGGGCCCAGCACAATTTATAAACGCACTCGACCAGCAGCCGCATTTTAGCCACAATTCAAACGAAATGCACACAGTTCAATATTCGCGAGGAGCAACAGCCAAATGTGCCAACGTTCCGCGTGCGACTGTGGCAAAAGCGTCGAGAAATTTACTCAAAGCCAACACACAAAACCAACCCAAAACCCCACCCGAGCACACCCGCCCAGCAGCTGTTCGAGACGAGGCGTCGACAGCGCCGAGCAGAGCCGGCAGAGCTTGTCAACGTCAGCGTCAGCGTCAACGTGCCTCTGTCTGCGTAGTGTGTTTTTCTCATACCCTTTCCCCTTACCCGTGCGCAAAGGGCATTCTGGCTGGGATCATTTGCTTGATACATCATACACAATCCTGCGCAGATGCGATCGTGAGACATATAGCTGCTGCTCTTCATTATCTATATATATGTACATATATTCCAACTGATCGAGAGATTCGCTTGAAATTTGAATAAATATGCAGTCAAGTCCACTTTCTTTTAGCTATTGTTTAAAAGTTCCTTCCAGAGACTTCTTGAATAGCAATTGTAGAGTATTCGCTAGCCGGCACGCGTTGTTATTGTGCGCTAGCTTTACTTTTTTAGCTTTATCTTTTATTTTTTGCGCTATCAAAATGTGCATTTTATGAGCACGGCTAGGCTAGGCGGAAAAACTCGTTTATAGCTTCAGTTTTCGCATATATTGCACAAGTTGCATTCCCTGCAATCTTTAAGCTGCAATTGTGCAGCATCTGTCCCTCAGCTAGAGCACGAGACTTGTTGCCTAATAAAGGCTACATTCAGCTCGGCTTGGCTCTGCCCTTCACAATTGGCACGCTCTGCCCGCCTGATAAGCAGCTGATAAGATAACAGCACACACACACACACAAACACAGGCACAGCCACAGACACAGACACAGACACATTGATACTTATAGATTTATGTACATGTGCGTGCTATTTTTGCTGCTCGCCATAAAGCAAAAAATGGTCGAAATATTTGCAAATCGAAATTAAGGCCAAAACGCGGCTAAACGCAGTAAACAGGCCAATAAATGAACTTCAGTCGGCGGCTGGCGACGACGTCAATTGAAAATTTATTGCAATTCGATGAAATCGCGAATCGCGAATTTCGAAACTGCATTTGGAATTGCAAACGTGCGAGAATATCAAATCAATCAAAAGTCAGCAGCTCTCTCTATCTCTCTCTCTCTCACTATGCCTCCTCTCTCTTACTCTCCCTCTCCATCTTGCTAAACAGATGATCCATCGATTATGTAAGAGCGCTAATTAGAATTAGAATCGTTAATAAGCCATTTAGTGCAGCTTATTAACAAATACGAATTGGAAAATGCGGCTAAACATCTGGAATCTGAACTCAATTAGATGATAATACATCAACTGAGGGTCAGAACAAATTAAATAGTTATTATTATCTAATACTGGAAATGCTTTAAAGATTGCACAATAAACAGCCTCTAGATCAAGTTTGACCAAAAATACTTGGCATACTCAAGCTGCGGATAATCCCAGCCCCAATCCCTGTCAAAGCCTAGATTATAGATTGTAGATCCATTCAAGTTAGTCGCGTCCCCTCCCAAGTCGATCGAAAATGTGTGTCAAGACTTGTTTATTGCTTTACTAAATATATATATATATATATACTATAACTATTCTAATTTGTTTTGCTTTCAAATAGCCGCAGTTGGTTGTCAAGCGCTAAGGCAATGCTCCCTGCTAGGCAAATCTTTAGAAGCCAATGTGCAACGACTCGAAGGTACCCTGTAAACTGTCTGGGCGTATATGAAGAATATCTAGAATGTGCTAGCAAGAGTCTAGAATCAGTTAAGGGTAAGATTATGAAGTTAAGTCATAGAAGAACTAGACTGACTCCTAGACAACTCCTCCCCTTCATTTCTGTGGCCCAGGGCATCTTTCTGTGTACTTAACATATTTTGGAAATTCATAAACAAACTGCACACTCATTAAAAAACAATTTGGCGAAATGAAAAAAGCTTGGAAAATATTGCGAGACTTTGACTAATTGCGTGAAGCATAAAAAGGTAAACAGAGAAAAAGGTAAACAACGCGCAGTTTCTTTCGATTCGTTTCGCTTTGTTTTTCAGGCGCTTTTCGCCAGAATTATCGCATAAACAAAAACGAACTTCTGCCAGGCAAATGGCTGATAAACTTGATAAAAAGTAGCCACAGCCGCTGATAAAGATGCCACAGTGTGAAAGGGGGCGGCAAGTGGGCGGCGAGTGGGCAGTGGCCGATGAGCTGGCGGCATCTGCGACTGCGGCTGCTGGTGAAGGCCACAACAAGGCTGCAACAACAACAGAGACGTGTGACGAAAGCTGTGGCCAATTCTGAGTCATGGCCAAAAACAATTTAGATGCCGTTTGCTGTTTGCCGTTTTCATTTATAATTTAGCATTTAGCATTTCGCATTTCTCATTTCCCAGTTGCCAGTTGCCAGTTCGTTTGCTTGGCCAATTAAACACTTTGGCCGTCTGGCGATATTTTTGGATCTGGCGACCCGGCACGGCCCGGCCCGGCCCGGCCCGGCCTTCAACAGTGAATCACGACCCACTGGGCCCAATTATGCAACATTTCACATGCGCCAAAAGCCATATAAAACGATTTCCTGAATGCGGCCCAGCACTGAAATGCACAACAAGAAGAAGAAGAGCCCTAAGCGCATTACAAGAGAGAGAGCAAAAATCGCAAAAATAGCAACGAGCTGGCGCAGGCTACGAAGGGAGGGGAGGGTTGGGGTTGACCTGGCAGGCGGAAGAGTGTAACATAACCTTAAACTTGCAATTGCTAAATCAACAATTTCGACCTTCGCCGAAAAGCTTTACGCTTTCCACAATCAATAAGAATAAACAAATATATGTGCATGTGCATGTGTGATATATATATATATATATGTATATATGTACATATATATACGTGAGACTCTTGACAGCTTCTGCTACGTCACCGCATTGTGACGTCAGAGTTCGCTAGTGTTTTATCTTTTTTTTTGGCGCTGACTGTCGCATTGTATAAATAACATCGAAAAAATAAAAAAAAAACATAAACCTGATGCGCCTGTTCTGAAGAGTCACTCGAGGCGAGCAGAAGAGCGAGTACAGTGAAATATGGAGGGGGAAGGCGTGTATCACGTAGTTGGCGAGTGATAAAGATACAGACTGATACAGCTCATCTTGCTGCCCCATTGATTCCGTGCATGAGCAATCGGGGTAATGAATACAAAAGCTAATGAAAACAAACGCTTTCAATGGAATCGAAAACCAAGCAGAGCCGAGTGGGAACGTGTCCTCAGTGGAAACACGTGAAGTGCGCATGGGAAATGGCAAAATTAATCATAATTCATGGTGATAAATATGCTTAGAGATCTGGCAACACCAAAACGTTTTCCGTACCTGTTAAGTTGGCTGCGAGCGAATCAATGCAATCGTAAACTAATCAGAGCCGGGTGGGAACGTGTCCTCAGTGGAAACACGTGAACTGAGCATGGGAAATGGCAATAGTCATATTATATAAATCATAATTCATTGTTATGCATATTATAGATTTGAATTGCAGCTACAGCGATCTGGCAACACCAACAAGTTGTCTGTACTTGTTAAGTTGGCTGCGCTAGACTACAGTGTTAACCGAGGCCTACATTAAAAAGCAATTTGAAATATGCAAATGTTTAGAGTTTTGTAAAATGTTGTTGATTTGTTATTTTACTTTGCTATGTAAACACATCAGGGTTCTATTTTTATCTCTAATTGTAATAACTAATGAGATACTAACTGCTCAAGCGCTTGAGCTGATTACAAAACAGTTATACTTCATTTCTGGTATCGTTACAAGCCAAACGTTGAATACATAATGGTCTCTAGGCGCAGTAATAAGAGAAAAGTGTGGCTGGCGATAACAATTTAATTTAATAAACGACAATAAACCACGCTCCGTTGCAAAAAAAAAATCACAGCAATTGGTGAGCAACGCGCTTTTATCATTACAATTAATTTGCATTCACTTGATAAAGTGCACTACAAGAGTACAGTAAACAATCGCTAAAAGCAACCGTAATTTCTGTATATTATATATATATATTATTACGAGGCTGATAATTGAACTGCGCAAGCAAATAGAAGCAAGAATTAAATACAATCGGCTTATCTGTTGTAATTAAAATGTATTCCCACAGCCAGGTGGAGCTTAGATAAGAGAACAATTGTTCGATTGCAAATCGCATTTGGCAGGGTCAAAATGATTAATTAATTGTGCCATTGTCTCAGTCTACCCATAAGGAAGTTGAGCCTTATACGACATTAAAGTCTTTGTGCAGCGATCCCAGCCAATTTTGAATGCTTGGCAAAAAGCAAAAGCCAAATTGGCAGCTTGCAACTTTACGCTAAAGTTCACATTTCGAATTAATGACAAAACTGCCTATTGAACGACAAAGCTTGCATATCAAATATGAACAAACTGGTTCTCTGCTCGATCTATACACTTATATATATATATATATATATATAAATATGCACATAATAAGTAGGTACAAATAAATATATATATTTAAGACAAAGCAGCTTTTTGCGAGCTATAAATGTTGTTAATTTATTATGTATACGACTGAAAGTGCAAGTGTGGAAATCAACAAAAACTCTTCGCGCAGACTTCTTTGGCATTTGTTAATTTATAATTTGAACGCGTGCCAAGAAACTTGGCTAATTTTTGGCTAAAGATGTGTGAAGAGATACAAATAGAATAAAAAATATAAGACCAAAAAAAAAAAAACAAAACTAGTTGACAGTTCTCGCGTGCCAAGGCAATTAACGGACTGGCCAATTAATTGAAAGGCTGAAAGGCGCTTCTAGCCAAACCGATAATTAAATCGATAATTAAAAGTGTTTTGGTGTTCGCACAGTGCATGCAAATCGTGTAAACCTTTGCGCAAATGCGAATTAGCCGGAGCAGAACCAAACCGAACCGAGCAGCACAGACTGAAGCGAAATGCAAATGCGCGCGTGCGAATTCGCGTGTCAGCGAGAACTGAATGGAAGCGACGGCGAAATCGAAGCAAAAAAAAACGGGCGAAGTGCGCGTACGCGACGAGCTTTTCGAATTGAGTGAGCGAGATTGCGGGCAAGATATAAGGGCAGAGCAGCGCTGTGAACAACACTGAAGGGGGGAGAGTTGTCAAATAGGAAGCGAACAGGCAGCAGCAGCAGCAGCACAGGATCGATAGATGGCGCTGGCGTACCAAGGCTTGTTTACACAGCGTAAATAAAAAGCGCCCCAGTCGGACGCTGATATAAACAAACAGAGCCACATAAACAGTTAGAAGCTGCCGCATTGCAATTGGTTGCATAAACGAAAAACGAAAACCGAACGGGTCGATGCCTGTGCACATGTGTGGGTGATGCACTCTTCGCCTGACCTTAAGGGCCTTGACAGTTACAAGTGAAACTGCAGAGCGGAACCTGGCAGCAGCAAGGTAAACAGTTGACAGGAGAAAGTGTCGATGGGCGAAGACAAAGAAGCCTCATTCAATTGTTATATAACGAGCGGCTGGCGGCTGGCGACTTCCTTCTCGTGCAGGTGAAACCCTGCTGATAATGCCGCTAAAGCATCTGCATGGTTCGCTGCAGCGATAAGATGACGTTGAACCTGTGCAGCGCGCTAAAACAAAAAACTGATGGGCAGACGACGCGCAGCAGCCGGCAGCGACAGCGCAGCAGCTGACAACAAACATTTGCACAACTGCTTTTGCGTACGCTTTTTTTTAACGCCGTTTAATTGTTGTGCGACGCACAGCTGCTGCTGCTGCTGCTGCCAGCTAGACAACTAGACAGCTAGGGATAAGCCACTCACCTCACTGGGCGACATTGATGACATATTCCTTGGTATTTGATGGCCGTTGCACTTTGCTCGTTCTGCTTCCACTTGTTCGAAGTGCTCGCTGTGAACGTCAAGCCGCTTATCCTTTGACCTGCTATGCTGTACAATCTATTTCCTGTGGTGCACAATTTTGAATTACAAATGTAAATTATTGTATGTTACATTGCCAACTATATTTGAACAAAATGTTAAGAGTTGAGGCAGTGTGTTTTTTACCTTACAACTGTGACGTGAGCGGCTGGCCAAAATATACTTGGTATGTTGTTATTGATATTCGTTTAGTTTTGGTATTTAATTGCAACAATAGTGCTATCGATAGTTCACTTAACAGAACGCAAACAGCTGTTAGTGTTTAAATATTTTTATCTGACAAGTCAATCTAAGAAGTTGCGGCCCTTCATTTGATATAAATTAATGTTATCAATGAAAAAGTAAAAAATGTATAAAAACGAGTATATCAGTTTTGTTGCCAGCTGTTTGTAAACTGATCAATAATAACAAACAGAAACTATCGATACAGCCAACTGCGATTAATTTTAGTATTTTTCATTATTTTGGTGTATTTTAGCGTATTTTTGGACAGCGTATTTTCGCAAGCGAGCAGAGCTTTAAAACAGCTGTTGAGAATAAACAAAGCAAAAATTTTGTTAATTTGCAAATAAAATCAAATGTATTAACTAGCTGGCAAAATGTTGTGCTCAGTTAATACGCCTCAATAAGCGTTCAGCAGCTGAGCTCAAAGAGCAAATTTTTGCTGGCTGGTCAAATAAATGCATTAAATAGATCTGTAATTGACGAACACTGGCGGCCATAACAATAGGCACGGCGCCAGTTGACGCTATCAGCAAGTGTTGTTTTATATTGGACACAGATAAGCATCTATCTGATACTTTTAAATACACACGCAGCAACGCTTTGCAATTCAGTAAGAGGTTCCCTTTACTGGCGGGCATATCGGCACTAAAACAAGAATGCATTTCGGCGTTTTGGGCAGCGGAATTATTGGCTTGACGAGCGCCTTGGAGCTGCAGCAGCAGTTTCCCACGGCGCGGGTCTCGATCATAGCGGATCGTTTCAATGAGGATACCGTTAGCTATGTGGCCGCGGGCATCTTTCGTCCCGGCACCAGCTTCATGGGTCCCACCCAGGAAATTACGCAGTATGTGAGTGACCCCGTGGGGTCGTCAAATCAATTAAGAGATCTTGACGCTCAATCGTAAATATATGTATGTTTCTTGCAGCCAGTGGATGAGGGATGCATTTAATTACTGGGACGAGCTGCGCCGCTCGACGGAATCGGCCCTGGCTGGCGTCTGCCAACTCTCCGGCTATATATTCTCACGCACCACGCCCTCCGTTGTACGGGTAAGCAGACAGCCGGATAACTAATCAGTTAATCGGAGTTTCCATTATCGCGTTGTAATTATATAATATAATTGTGATTAATATTGATAACTGTTTGCCTGGCCAGAATCATTTCATCGAGCAGCTGCTGCCCGTTTACCGACGCGCCACGGAGCAAGAGCTGCGTCTGTGCCAGGGCGGCTGGAAGTACGGCTCCTTCTTCACAACCTGCCTGACTGAGAGTCGTCTGTTTCTGCCCTATGCCACCAAGAAGTAAGTTGTGCCCAGTTCTGCAGCTGCCCCTTGATTGATTGATTGATTCTGTTGCCTTGCAGATTCCTGGCGAACGGCGGTCAAGTGTTGCGCCAGCACGTGAGCAACTTCTTCGATGTGCCACAGGACTTGGACGTGCTGCTGAATTGCACTGGCATGGGCGCCAAGGAGCTATGCAATGACCAACATTTGGTGCCCATTCGCGGTCAGGTACTCAAGGTGCGCGCACCTTGGATTAAAACCGCTTTCTACGGCGATCTGGACACGTACGTGCTGCCCGGCTTCGAGACCGTGACCCTGGGCGGCTGCAGACAGTACGACAGCTACAACACCGAATGGTGCAAGTACGACAGCATGGCTATCAAGGAGCGCTGCTACGATCTGCTGCCCAGCCTGAAGAAGGCGGAAATTGTGCGCGAGTGCGTCGGACTGCGGCCGCATCGGTCTGTGGTGCGCGTCGAGCCGGAGCTGCTCACCAATGATCAGGGGCGTCGGCTCAAGATTGTGCACAACTATGGACACGGCGGCTACGGTGTGACCACAGCCCCGGGCACCGCCAAATATGCGGTGCAGGTGGTGCGTGATATGCTCGCTGGCAATAGCAAATTGTAGCGTGATTTCAATTGCATTGTTGATTTGTTAAATTGTTGATTATTAAAATGTTTATATGTGCAATCTGTTTTATGCAGAAACTTTGACCCATGCAAACTTTTATTTCGCTTTGCTTGGTCCAATAAATGAATCAAAATTTCTGCTGGCCATAAAAGCAAAAAGCAATCACAAATATTGCGATAAGGTTTGCTTAAATACGTAATATTCAAATAATGCGCGCATTGCTGTAGCTATCGATACGTTCAGTCAGTGTTGGCTAACGTTTGCTGTTTTCTGCTAAGTGCGCAAATGCGCCGCATGAATGGAAAGCTCTTAAGCTTTCGCTCGCCCACACAAACAACAACAACCCGCTGCTGGGCATCGATTTTCACCACTGGAGCAGAAAGAAGCAGCAGCTGGACAGTTGAAACAGTTTAAATGATGAAAACGTATACAAAACGCTTATATTCGCCGCGTTAGTCAATTCGCCGAAAGCACCACACACACACACACACACTCAAACACACGAACAGGGACATATGCGTAGCTGCAGAAAATTTTTTGCCTCATTCGTGGTCCTGTAAAAGTCGACGAGGACGTGTACAACAGAGCTAAGGAAAATTCTAAGCAAAACTAAAAAAAAAAAAAGGTGAAATTGAGTTGAGAAAAACACTTTGCCTGGCGCCAGCAACTAAATGAATAATTGAATTGAATCGGGCGAGACAAACGCGCGTGAAACGCTAAATAATTGATTGAATAATCGTAAACAAAAAAGCGCTAAATTCTAACAGCAGGCAGCTGGCAGCGGGCACTCGAAACTCTAACCCAGTGCCAAGGCTAAACTTTCCCAGTGCTGCACGCCACAGACCCTAAAAACCAGTAGCCAAACGGACAGTGCGAAAAAAAAGAAAGAAATTAGAGCGAAAAAGCAAACTCGCAGCCACAATATCGATTTGTGTATATGTGTGAAAAATAACAGTAAAGAGCTTACACCCACGCGCGCACGCACACCCACTCACACACCTGCACACACCAACACACCATCACACACACACACAGTCCGCAGACGTCAACAAAAACAACAACAGCAGTTGGTCACAGGGAACAGCCGCAGCACTTAAGGAATTACCCCAGGATCTGCAGACATCCGGCGCAATCCCAGCCCCACTCACACACACACAAGCACACACAGTCACACTTAGCCAGCAGCAGCTGCAACAATAAGAAAGAAAAAACAACAACAACAACAAAAAGAACCGTAACAACCTCAAGACTAAGTCACAGTAAGTGCATTTGCCTTAATCGTAAGAATACGTATACGCCGCATGGTACTCATGATTTATGCATGTACAAATATACTTATGCAGACACACACCCACACACACACATGTCCAGCTGCATGTGCTGCTTCGTTTCCGCAACAACAACAACTGTCGTCGCATTTTGATATCTGCCTTTATTTTTATGTTTTTGTTTTTGTTTGCCCAGTGAAAGTTCTCAATGCCAAATGCAAGCGGTAAATGATTATTTCATTGTTGTGGCTTCACAACTGCAACTGCAACTGCAACTGCCAGCAGTAGCTGTTAACTGTACTCAAAAACAAGGACAACAACAAAACAGCACTCAACACGTTAGTTGAAGTCTATTGCACATCTGTTAAAAATTTAACAGCGAGCTGTTCTGCTTTATATTAATTTCAATGATACTATGTCCTTAAGATGACGTCAAATGGAAAGCAGTCTGCAAACAAAACTCTTTCGGTGGCAAAGCGTGATATCATCTCGAATGGTGATTGATTGCGCAAACATAGTTGGGAAGCTTATTTTTAAAACAGATTTGTTAAGAATTTCTAAAGGCGAGGACTACTTAAATTTGATTGCATTTCAGCAAAAATGCAATAAGTACATGTTTAAACAGCCCAATTATTATGAAAAGATGCTAAATATATGCTCCTGCGAGTAATAAGTTTATTGTAGTCCACTGTTTATTTCAAAGTGCTCAAATGTTATCGAAAGACTATCGATAAGAGTGGTAAAATAAATCGAATTTTATTAGCATCAATCAAATATTTTGTATGACCAATTAATTTGCTTCATGTCGAGTTTCTGACTAAATGTGAAAGTTTAAACTGAACATAACTTTTGTGTCCAAGTTGGACAACATAAAGTCTAACTTTATTTATATTTTGATTGAGTTATTGCCAACTTTTGAGCAAGCACACACACACACACACACAGATACAGACAGACAGACCGAGGTATAAATGTTTGTGCGTATTTGGCATTTGTGGTTCGATGCCGCAACTCGTTATCAATAATTGAACTAGCCCAAAGGTTATGCTGGCAAATGGCAACAGCTGCTTGAATGTGTTTCACGGGGAGCTGACTCGCAATTTGAAACATAAAATAACAACAACAACCACGACGTGGTTAAAAAAATCGATAATTAGGGAGCCTGGCAGGGCAGATAAAAAACGAAAAACATGCTCGCATACGCAGCGAACAGCTCTGATAACAGCCTGCACTTATTTACTTGAGCATGACTGTCGTTGCTTGTCGCTGCCTGTTTGTGCACGTTCATGCCTGTCGTCGGTGTCGTCGTCGTCGCAGTGCGCCCCTCGCTTCAAGAGCCTATCAACAGCAACCGAACCCGCCGCCGCCGCCCCCGCCCCCCAGATGGAGCTGTGTCTTTTGCCAGGGCCTTGAGGATGACGCGAAAAAGGGAAGAAATCACGTTGCTGCGCAACGTTTGGTTTAATAGGAAAGGGGGTGGGGGAGGGGGTGGGCGGAGTTGTGGATTGGGGTAAGGGGTAAAAGGATGTTGTAGTTGACTATACAAACAAATTATCGACACAATGTTGTGTGCGCTGCGTGCACATGAAAAAGTCACTCTTAACTCACAATTTTGAAATAGCTAAGGCCATATTCCCAGTTACCCCCACTAACAAGCCCGCCTCCCTTTCCATAATCTCTCTCCGCCGCCCGCTAAAGACAAGGCTAAAACTTTTTCAAGGCCAACCTAGAGCTGATTGCTTCGTTGTTAGTCGAGCTGCCTCTTTGAAATTTCTTCTTGAGCTGCCAATGACGTGACAGTCATATTAAAAACAGCTCAACTACTCGCCAGACCCAAAGGCCAAAAGAAATATTCATATTGCCAGACGGCAAAATTCACAAGAATATCGCTTTGACAGGCAGCCGCTCTCTCGCCCTCCCTCTCTCTCTCTCTCTCTCGCTCTCTTTACATGTACATACATATATATATTTTTATACTGCAATGACAGTTGGGTAATAAAGTCTGCAGCAAGCTAAAGAAATCAGCTGCATATCAGATTTAACAAAGATTTCGCATATGTATACATTTTGGCTCTACTCACGTTTTTGCATTGTGCATCCATTGCTATGTAAAAAGTTGAGAAACACAAATTTAACACGAATATAAAAAATGGCGTTACTGTATGAAGTGAGCAGTGCTGACAAACTGACGTTTGTGCCTATCGATAGTTTCGATATTGCGCCATTGGATTGTTTCTCTTAAATTTGGTAGATGTTGGTGCTAAAAATAAAAGTTTAAAAATTAAATTAGTGCGCATTAAGCTTTCCTTAGTTTATTGGTTAGTTGCGAATAATTCTCAATATTCATAGAAAAACTATCGATATTATTAACAGGGGCTTTCGAGAGGTAGTTCTTTTTGTTAGTTTTGCAGCACTAGTACTCAGCAGCAATACCAGCCCGACCAAGGCTCGTCAGGCTACTTGCCACCCACACCTCCCCCGCCCATAATGTACAGCCCACCAACCCACCAACAAGTCAAATGCTTTGCTTTTAGAAAATATAAACGCAACTTGTTTAATCCTCCACCGCACAGACGACAAATCAAATTCAATTACTCAAAATGCCCAACAGGTGGCGCTTTTCCGTCTTTCGTTTCGACGGCTGGGGGCGCTGCTCCTGCTGGTGGATTTCCTGTGGCCGATTAAACAGTTGAAGTGCTCATTAAAAAAATATATAAAAACAAATCTGCGCGCTGGCTACTCGATCAGCTGAAGCCGGGTGCCAGCGCCAACGCCGACCCCTACCACGCCCACGCCTACCCCTACCCCTACCCCGAGGCCATCACCCATGCCGCAAATGCCGACGCCGCTTGGCATTGTCAACATCATGTCCTCGCTCTGCTCCAGTTGAAAGTGTCCGTTGCACTTGCTAACGAGGCTGTTGTCGCCCTCGCTGCCATTGTTTTCCACGTTGCTGCCAATGTTCCGGAAGTTAAGGCTGTTGTTGCTGTTGCTGTTGTTGCTGTTGTTATTGTTGTTGGTGTTGTTGGTGTTGCTGCTGCTGTTGCTGGAGCTAAAGAAGATGATGGAATTGGGGCAGCAGGAGGGCAGCGGCTGCTGCTGCTGCTGCTGCTGATCGGCCGAGTCCCGTTTGAGTATTGTGGTGCAGATGCTGGCATTGGAGCTGGTCGTGATGGTGGTGGTGGTGTCCAGTGTCTCAATGAGCTGCCCCTCATCATCGGAGCTGACCGCAGTGGGCTGCACCTTGAGCTGCTGCTGTATCTGCTGCTGCTGTTGTTGTTGTTGCTGCTGTTGCTGCTGCAGCTGCTGCAGCTGTTGCAGTTGCTCCTGTTCCTGCTGCGACTGCTCCTGCTCGTCCTCCATCTCCTGCTGCTGCTGCTGCAACAGCTCCAGGCGCATACGAGCCAGCTGTGTGGCATCGTAAGGACAGAAATAGTTGAGATTTATGATGCGATTGCCGAGCTGCTGGACGGGACGCGAATTGCGGGCGATAGGCGTGATGCCGTCGGCGCTGAGCAGCTGACGAAAGTGGCGCAGCTGAAAGTCGCTGATGGCCAGGGACTCGGGAAAGAGAAACCACTCGGTGCCCTGGTAGCAGGGCGGCTGCGTCAGCGAGCCACCGTAGCTATAGAAGCCCGTGCGAAACGGATAAATCAAATAGGAGAGCGGAAAGGGCGCAATGTGGACACGCTTGCCGGGCTGCTGCACCAGCTTGAGGTTCTGCATGAGCGGATCCAGAAACGGATTGTGAGCGGACAGCTCAAAGACATAGGCAATCATGAGCAGATCGTAGCTGCTGGTGCAGCTGCGCGGAACAGCGGCGCCTGTGCGATGCAGCACCTGCATCTCAAGCGGAAACTTGCGATGATTTAGCGTGTGCTCGGAGCCCTCGCTGTTCGACCAGCCCCAATGGAAGCACAGCTCCACAAACGTATAGCTGGCCAGCAGATCTGCTCCGCTGATGGTCGGCACATTGCTGCGAAACTGGGCGCGCAGCAGCAGCGTCTGGCCGGTGTTCTCCAGCACAATGCTGGCCGGCAGCTCGTCATAATGATTCCAGTTGAGCAGCTCGCGTATGGCCAGGCGCTGCACCACCTGCTCATCGATGTTGACCGGGCTCTGGTTGTTACCGGCCTGTGTCCAGGTGTGCGGTCCCTGCAGCATGGTGTAGTCAAAGCTGCTGCCATTGCTGCTGCTGCTGCTGTTGTTGCTGCCGTTGACGCTGGCCATGCCCTTGGCGCCCTTGCGCGAGAGAAAGGAGAAAGCGTAGAGCTTGCTAAAGCCCTGGACACGTTCGCGCAGCTCCTGGCCCAGTTCCTTGCGCAGCTGCTCGTCGGCCTGGTTAAAGAAACTCAACAGCAAACAGAGGCCGGTGGTGAGGAGCGGATGCTGCCAGGCCTGGCCCAGCAGCAGGCAGACACCCTGCGCCAGCCAGCTGACGAGCATGCCCAGCGTTGTATCGAACATGTTGTGGTAGAAAGTGTAAGAAAGAAAGTTCTCAAAAAGTGATGCGAAACGAAACGAGCAAACGATAAACGTAAAACCAATGCGCGCTATTCAATTTGAAATTAAGGCTGATTTTGAAATGTATTTTTTTTTTTATATATATTTAAACTGAAGTCGAGCAATTGCTGCTAGTGTTTAACTGTTGCTGGGAATAATGATCTGTTGTGCTCGATATTACAAAAAAAAACACATAAATAGAATAATTCCAGGCTAAGCTGATCCCACACGAAACACCTAATCACCCTGTCTCCATTCTAGCCCACAATCATGGCTGGCGGTGGTGATCCCAAGTGGCAAAAGGATGCGGCCGATCAGAACTTCGACTACATGTTCAAGCTGCTCATCATCGGCAACTCGAGCGTCGGCAAGACCAGCTTCCTCTTTCGCTATGCGGACGACAGCTTCACATCGGCTTTTGTCTCCACCGTGGGCATTGACTTCAAGGTCAAGACGGTTTTCCGCCACGACAAGCGCGTCAAGCTGCAGATTTGGGTAAGTCCAGACGAACTTCATCTTGGATTAGTCAAAAATACATGCGTTGCGAGTGTTGCATAAATGTAAATGGAATTGTTGCTGCCTTCTCTTAAGTTGAGCTCGTCGCATTTTCTATCTTATTATACGCTACACATATACAAACAGATATTCTGGGATGCGCCAAGGCTAATCCTTGTCTCAGCCAAAGCAATTAAAAATGATGTGGAAAAAGCGCATAACCCTTCAATTCATCCCATGTCTGGACAATTTAGATGTCGCATTCATTATCTAATCTTTAGCTAAGCCAACTTCTTTGGCCAGGCAAAAAGCAGACCTGACAATAAAACTGATTTAAAACTGTGAAGTCTAGGAAGAGCAGATAATTTAATTAATTGCAGATAAACTCAATTAATATACCAAAAATTGCAAATGCCATTGAAAGCCTGTCAAACGTAACGTATACTCAATATAAAATGCACAGCAAAGGCTGGCATAAAAAGTGTAGCATACTTTTATGGGCTGTACAAATTTGTGGCAAATTTCTGTGGGCTCGCAAAATTTGCCAGCCATTTAGTAATGTGACAAGTTTGTTCACAGTTAACACTCTCCACCCATCCCAAACACACACACACACACACACACACACACATACACACACAGAGAATCAGCCGTATTGATTGCTGAGCTGTGTCTATTTTGGCATCAATGTCATTGAGCGAAAGGCTCGCTGCACGGGGCAACAAGTTTCACAGGTGAGCGCACTTCGAAGTGTTCTCAGACAACCATCGCAATGCGGCTGTATGGGTGTGTGGGTGTGTGGGCAGCACTAATTGCGTTTGCGTTTTATGCACATGACACGTATGTAAAACATCGCACATAGACATAGATATTGACCTGCCTCAGCTTACTGACCACAAGCCCTGCTTTCATATGTGTGTGTGTGTCCTTTTGGCCAACAGGATACGGCTGGGCAGGAGCGTTACCGCACCATAACCACAGCCTACTACCGCGGCGCCATGGGTTTCATTCTGATGTATGATGTCACCAATGAGGACAGCTTCAACTCTGTGCAGGATTGGTATGTAAACCCAGACAGACACACACACAGTGTGTGTGCCTGATTGTGTGTGTGCCTAATGTAATTATTGTATTTGTTGTTTAGGGTGACACAAATCAAAACGTATTCGTGGGACAACGCTCAGGTCATATTGGTGGGCAACAAATGCGACATGGAGGACCAGCGCGTAATCAGCTTCGAGCGCGGTCGCCAATTGGCCGATCAGCTGGGCGTTGAGTTCTTTGAGACATCGGCCAAGGAGAATGTCAATGTTAAGGCAAGTCGATATCTATCTATATCCATGTATATATATATATCAATTAAAATCTATTTGTGCGTTGACAGGCTGTTTTCGAGCGCCTGGTCGATATTATATGCGACAAGATGTCCGAGAGCCTGGACGCGGATCCAACGTTAGTCGGCGGCACACAGAAGGGGCAGCGCTTGACGGATCCGACGCAGGGCACGCCCAATACCAATTGTAATTGTTAAACATGACACATGTAGCCGATGTTATAGACAAACTAACTAGCCTATATACACACACACACAGACACACACACACACACACACACACACACTCCCATAACACGCAGTCAGTTACAATTTGAAGTTAGCAAAGGTTTATAGTCGCAGAGAAATGCAAGACCTTTAGACAAAAAAAAAAAAACATAAATAATATATATACATGAATGTATATCATATTATAATATTATATTTATACATGATTTGCGTTGTCGCTCCGTGTAAATGTCAAGTTAATATGTGCATGAATACTTATATTAATCAGTGTTTCGATCATTTGTTGAGCTTGTATTTGGGCATTAGAGCAAAGAATTTACGGCGAGTTAGGATCGAAGAGAAACCAAATCGGAATGCTGCATAGTTTATGCCAATGAATAATACAAATGTTTGTTTTCAGTGTGCTTCGAGAGATGTTGCTAATTTGTCAATGTGTTGTGTGTAAATTGATAACGATACCGATTACGATACCGATAACGATAACGATAACAATTACGATAATGTTAACGATAACAATAACTCATGTCTAAGTGCAAAATGCAAATGTTGCATTCAGTTATGCACTTATTAAATATGCACATTTTGTGCTGTATTTTCCTCGACATTTCCATTTACATTTCCATTTCCTTGTCGTTTTCTTTCATCCTAAGCTTAACTTCGATTTCTAAACCGTATTTCATACATTTGATTCGTAACGAACTTTTAGCTAAGCAAACTTTTCAATGTTGTTTTTTAATGTACATACGCTGGCAGCAAGTTTACCGTTAGAGAAAATATGCTTGGAAAACTCTTGAACAATGAAAATTATTCGAAAGAAAGGACAAGCAAAATAGCAGCAAAAACGCACAAAGCTAGCGAATCGGTGAAATTAAACATAAATATACACATGCATACATTTATATAAACTATCTATTATTATCTAACTAGCTACACACACACACACACACACACACACACACACACACACAGACACACACACACTCATACACACACACATGCACAACCTTACGCGTTGTACATGCATAAAAAGGCTCTAGTCAAAGGTCATTATTATAATTATAATTATTATTATGTATGTATGTATTTATGTAGTGAAATGAACAATTTTAATGTGTTGCATATTATAAATGGAAATTATACATATATAAATATACATCTATACCATATATATATATATATATATATAGACAATTAACAAAAGAAAACCCTCAAGCGAACGGCATCAAATCATTTGATTTATTTTATAGAAAAGTCGATTGATTTCTTTTTTAAAAGAGAAAATAACTTTTTTTCAAGCAGATCTGAAGAGCTATTAGCTAGTTGGTTAGTTGAGCATATGCCCTTTGTGGCCAAGTCTGACAATAAACGATTGCAAAAAATATGCTTGACTAGTGGAAAGTGTGGAAAACTGCAAACATTTTCTCAACGCACAACGTTATGATTTTCTTCCGCTTAGATCTCTTTTTGAATTTTCAGCTACTTAACAAATTGACAATTAAGAATTGAACCCACCGTGCGAGACTGCACAGTGCAACAAAACACAGAGAAATCGGTGCATTTAATTTTAATTAACTACACTTAACTAAACTTCTATTTTGCTGTGCACACAAAATAAAGTTATGTTTTTTTGAATAATCTTTGAAGGGAAAGGCCGTGTTATAATTTAAAAGAAAAAAAAAAAAACACAAATTGGAAATTGAGAAATTCTTGCGCTGCCTTCTCAACAATTAAATAAATTAATTGAATGCCAGCTGACTTTGAGATATTATTATATATTATTATATATTATGCATGTATAAAAGAACAAAACAATTTTGTATAGCTAAAAGAAAACAAAGAACGAACAAACGCTGAAATATATTTGAGGAAATTGCTCGTAATTGCAGAGTTTCACTTGAAATTAATTAAAGGCATATCGCTGTATTATAAATACCCCCCCAAATAAGCCTCCCCCCCTATCCAAAGAAAAGATGCACAACGAGACGCATAGCCAGATCTATCTGTTAAATACAGTATATTGTATTTGCATAAATTGGAGAATAAAACGAGAAATGAACGTTTTGCTCGTTTGAGATTTGGCATTTTCAACTGTTTGTAATATAATCATAACAATGGCATTATATTTATACCCTATACGATTATTGTATTGTATTGTATGTGCTTATAACCCAAACAGAAGAAAAACAAAAAACATTGTTAAAATACTGTAATAGTATGATTTTCTTCGTTGATTTAACTTATGTTCGGGTTGCCTTTTTATTTTTAACAACACGTCTTCTTACTGCTAGTACTGTAGAGAGACTGCCTTCCACTTCTTCTCTGCAGCCGCTTTTCTTTATCGATATTTACTTATCGTACTGTTATAATTAACATAGATAGTGACACTATAATACCCTGGCTAGGGTTACCAATGATGCTCTTATCCTATTACAACTCGGCCATCCTGACAAAGAGAGCTCCCGATCTCTGTCTTTTATATGTGTATCTATCTTTATAACTAATGCTTATTGCCTATTTTCGCATCCAATGCTTAAAGTTTTGGCTATTCCAGATACCAACGTACGGGTTGCGAGATAATTGAAAGCCTTCTACATCCTTTAACAAGTATCTATCATTTTTTAAAATCTTTTCTATACTATAAGGCCCTTTATATCTTGGTATTAACTTTTTTGAAACTCCTGGTGTGCTATCAAAATTTTTTACCATGACATAGTCACCTATTTTATATTCTACTGATACTTTCTTCTTTTTATTAATCCGCTCTTCATTTCTGATTTGAGCTTCTTTTTGATATATTTCTCCACTCTTTCTTATATTTTCTAAATTTCTTTTATCACACGTGTTCACCTGTGTAAACTCTTCTAATTTTTCTTTTAATTCATCAACAACTTTTCCTTTCTGTTGTAATCCGAATAACATTTCGCTTGGAAATTTCTTTATGCTTTTGTGTTGTGTGTTGTTTATTGCATATTCAACATTTTCTATAATAACATCCCAATGTAAACCATTTTCTGGCTCCGCCATTTTTGCCATCATCGGACCCAAGTCTCTATTCAACCTTTCCACCTGACCATTTGCTTGCGGACAACCCGTTGCTATTTTAATATGCGTTACTCCCTCATTTTTTAAAAATTCATCAAACTCTTTTGCAGTAAAACAACTCCCTCTGTCCGATACAATGAACTTAGGTCTACTATACGCTCTGAAATAATCTTTTAATGCCTTAATCGCTTCTTTCGTACTTGTTGTCTTTGCTGTATATAGTCTAACAAATTTTGAAAATCCGTCAACCACCGCCAATATATATTTATTAGCCCTTCCTGCATTAATTGGTCCATAATGGTCTATATGGATCATCTCCCACGGTTTGTTTCCTTTCGGTATGCTATGTAATAGTCCTTCACTCTTACCCGTCTTGGGGGCGAAGGCAATGCATTTTAAACAATTCCCTATATGCTTTATTGCTTTTTCCTTAATATATGGGAACCAGTAACTCTTTCCAATGGCATCGATCATCTTATCTCTCCCAGCATGTCCCAACTCATCATGATATTTGTAAAGTACATGTTCTTCCATATCCTTTGGTACATAAAAAACTAATCTGCCATCATTTGTTTTTCTGTAAATGACCCCATTTCTCATTTCGAATAGCTTGTGCTCTTCTTTTTCTAACATCTTTCTAATATCTACCAGTTTGTCATCTTTGCTTTGGCAAATAACTAAATTGTCCTCAAAACTATTGGATTCAATAACTAAAATGTCCTCATAACATCTGCTTAACGCATCCACATGTTGCATTTGCTTGCCCGATCTATGCACTAACTCAAAATCGTAATTTTGTAGTTCTAACGCCCATCTAGCAATTCTCGGATTTAAATCTATTTTGTTAAGCGTTAAAGTTAAAGAGTTGCAATCTGTCATTATTTTAAATCGTTTTCCCTGCAGATATATACGAAATCTGCGTAATGCGTAAATGATGGCTAGCGTTTCTAACTCAAAACTATGATATTTAGACTCTACTTCGGTTGTTCTTTTAGAAAAATAAAAAATCGGGTGTAATTTCCTATCTTCTTTTTTTTGAAATAAAACAGCCCCAAATCCCACTGCGCTGGCATCACAATGTAGTTCTATTTCTTCTTTGTAATTATATATTGATAGTACTGGCGCCTCTAACAATTTATCTTTTAACATATTAAAACACTTAAACTCCTCTTCTCCAAACTTGAATTTCTTATCTTTTTTCAATAAATCATATAAGGGTTTAGCTAATATAGAAAAGTTTAAAATGAACCTCCTGAAGTAGGAGCATAACCCTAGGAAACTTTGTACTCCCTGAATTTTGTTTGGTATTGGAAAGGATTTAACCGCTTCTAACCCTTTTTCATCAGCCCTAACGCCTTTACTATCCACCACAAATCCTAAATATTTAACGCTGCTTTTAAAAAATTCACACTTATCTAATTTCAACTCTAATTTGTTTTGCACCAGTCTTATAAACACTTCCTTTAAGGTCTCCATGTGTTCCTTTATGTTTGTACTTGCTATCATAATATCATCCATGTAAACAATTACCTTATTATCTTTTATCATATCACAAAATATGTTATTAACAAATCTTTGAAATACATGTGGCGCAGTTTTTAAACCCATGGGCATCCTAAGAAATTCATATTGTCCTAAAGGGGTAACAAATGAAGTGTATTTAATAGATTGCTCATTAACAAAAACATGAAAATACCCGTTTTTTAGATCCAACTTTGAAAATACTGTTTTTCCGCATAGTCTGTCTAATAAATCGTCGATCAATGGTAGCGGGTAGTTGTCTCTACATATAATTTTGTTCAGTCTTCTAAAATCAATACATAACCTCATGTCTCCAGTTTTTTTCTTCACTAGTACTATAGGTGATGCATACTCTGAACAACTTGGCCTAATGATTCCATCTTTTAAATAGTCGTCTAATAATTCTTGCAACTTTTCTTTTTCCATATAAGATAACCGCCTAGGTGTACAATTAAATACTTTGTCGTTTTCTAATCTTATGCTTAACTCATGTCTTAATTTTGGCTGATTTGGCCTTTTCGCTTTTACATAAGTATTTTCAAATAAATTTTCAAATTCACACTTTGTGCTGTAATCAATATCTTCACTTAAAATATATATATTTTCTCTTTTGTTAGAATCTTCCCAACTTATTGTTAAGATATCCTTCTCAAAATTCTCTTCTAA